TAACTCTGATTCAATTTTATTTTGTATCTTTTGGAAAATGAAGAGCTCTTCGGAACCTACGTGCGTGATAGATAAGATTCATTGAATAGTTTGTCAAGCATTAATGAGTTTTAATGAGCATTAATCTTGTTAATATCAACCCAAACTTGTTTCATACTCATGGCCAACTCATTATGCAATAGGGAGGGGACACCTCACCTGTCCCCTCCATTGGTCCCATATTTTGGGTCATTAAATCATTTTCCCAGAGGAAGAGTGCTACTACGGGGACCCAAAATATGGGACCAATGGAGGGGACATGTGAGGTGTCCCCTGCCATGAGTTGGCATGGCCAACTCATTATGCAATAGGGAGGGGACACCTCACCTGTCCCCTCCCTTGGTCCCATATTTTGGGTCCCCGTAGCAGCACTTTTTCCCCTGAGCCTCAGATGCAATTTGTTGGCACAATTACCCCAGGCCAGCAGTGGTGGAGCCAGGACCCGAGGGATAGGTGGGCAATAAAATGTAAATAAATAAAATACAATATTCATAAATACATTAATATAAGTTTATTAATAAATTCCAATGTCAAAAGAAAAAGATGCTTACAATTGTCCTCGACGAGTTTTCACATTTTGAAATCTATATATAGTCAACTCATTATTAATCGTATGAGATACATCTTTCTCAATAAAAGTAACCAGACTATCATTCAATCAACGATCTCCCATTTTATTGGGCAATCGAATCTTCACGAATTTCATAGCTAAAAATGTTTTGTCTACAGTAGCTGTGTCAAGTAAAAGTAATGCTAACTTGACAATCAAATATACAAATGGATGCGCAAGATTTCTCCGCATTTCCACCAACTTCTTTGCAATGTCCACAATACCTCTCAAGTTTGAAAAGTCAGTACTAGCGCGTATGACAACAATATAAGTCTCGAGTTGATTAACAAGGGATATAATCTCACTTTAGAAAAGCTCTGTAGGATTAAATTGAGCAAGTCGAATAAACTTTTGCTTGTCAAAAGCCGCAAAACCATTATCTAGATTCAAGCATGCCACACAAAGAAGTAATTCAGTATTCACTCCATTGAATCGATTTGAGCTCCTTTAGTTGCATATCGATAGCAGTATAGAATAGCTCAACACGACGATGATGCAAATTAGTGATCTCCTAAATTTTACACCGTGACCGCCCCTTTCCTGCAACCACTTCGCTCATGTTAGGAATTTGCTTCTCTCGGAGCATATGATGATGTCTACGTGACCCACCAACAACATTCAATAGATTAGCAATTAAAATGAGCAGTGATGCAACTTGAATATGATTTTTTGTAACAGCAACAAGTGTAAGTTAGAGCTGATGAGCGAAGCAATGAACATAAAAAAGCAGAGGGATTCTCGTAAAATCAAACTGTTAAGCCCGTTAGATTCCCCTCTCATGTTACTTGAACCATCGTAGCCTTGACCACGTACTCTTGAAATGCTCAAACTGCGTTTGCGTAACAATGATTCTATTGCAGCCTTAAGTGACGAAGCAATGGTATCACTAACATGTACAATCCAAAGAAAACGTTCAATAACACTCCCCTTCTTATCTGCATAACGCGAAACAACAACCATTTTCTCATTATGTGATGTGTCACGTGATTCATCGACTAAAATGGGAAACAATTCATCTTCGAGGTCACTAATTATTGCATTAGTAGTCTCACCTGCAATAACATTCACAATATCCTTTTGAATATCAGGAGCAGTCGATTGATTATTCTTAAAAGCATTTTGTAAAACAACATTCTTGATTGTCTCATTGCGATTAGCAAGAAATTTTAGGATTTCAAGAAAATTACCACGACTAGAAGAACTTTCAACCTCACCGTGAGCATGAAAAGGCAAACCTTGCTTCAAAAGGAATCAAATACAATCAATTGATGAAGACAAACGAGTTCCGTAGATATAGCGTGACTGCTTTGATAGTTTGAATAAAGCAGTTGAATATGTTGGTTTTGATTCATTAGATCTTGACATTTCTTCTAGGCTTGATTATACATACTTTTACGACCTCCAACATGAACTGTAAGTCTTTCATTCTTATTCCAATTTCTAAATCCTTCATTAACAAATGCATTTCCACCTGTTTGCATTCTATAGTCAGGCTTAAAAGGTAACAATATAAGCAAAAGGCGATATCTTGTTCTATACTATATTCCAACCAATTTCCTGTTGGCGTCTTTGTTTTGATGATGTTTAACAAATAATTTATCACTAATGTTGTTTGTCTAGTATTTGTGTTTTTTTATTTATTGTAGACAAACAACACGTTGGAAGTTGAATGGAATTACGCCATAACGATCATATCAAATGGAGGTTGACGGAAATAGTGGAGTGAAGCTACGCAATTCAAGTTAAAGATTCAAGTTCAAGCTTCATCCGCAAGTTTACCAAGAAGAGCTTACTGAAGATCAAGATCTTAGCTTGGGTAATTTAGTTTAGATTTGATATTATGTGTGTTAGTACTTTAAGCTCAATCATATACACACACATTTTATTGGTTTCTATATATATATGTTGTTTTGGTTTAATTTCATAGATATGAAACAAATATATATTCATATACATACTCATATGTTTCATATTTTATTATATTTATGAAAATATTGTATTCATTGTTTATAGACTTCATAACAATAGTTTATATCTTTCTTTAAGTCTATAAAACCAGTTTATAGAGTTTCAAAACATGGTTTATGTCCAATGTCAAAAACAAGTCTTTTTTCAGTTACATGTTTTGGACTATTTTGTAAAATGAGGAGATTTCTCATTTAGGAGATGCTTTTTGAAAACTAGTTTTTGTAGCATGTGTATTATCATGTCTACAATTATTTTCAAAGTTTTATATTTTTCTGGATTTGTTTGATATTTTTAAACAGGGTTTTAAAGTAAAAAAACTGTTTCAAACCTGTAATTGTCATATGTTAGTTTGCGGTCGACCGCCACGGTCGACCGCCCTTGAGTCTAGAGACTAAGCATGATTTTGACCAGATGCAGTCCAGAGTCTTTTGTGGTCGACCGCCACGATCGACCGGATGTTTTCCTGGGCCCAGTTTTTGCCTCTGAGTTGCTCGCGGTTGACCGCGAAATTCCCACGGTCGACCGCCGATTGCCCAACGGCTCTATTTGTACAGAATCTGATTTTTGATTCTGTGGGTTTTTTGATCTTTTGTCTTGGGGTTTTGGCTGTTGGTTTTTCTTCCTATATAAACCCTCAAACCCCTCTCTACCAGAGCAACCAATGGAATGTTTTAAACAAGTTTAAAAGAGTTTTTAGCAAGGATTTAAGTTTGGTTTAAAGTTTATTTGGTTTATGAAGATTGTTTTACAAGTGAAGGAGATCATCTACATTGATTGAGCTTCATCTTAATCCATCTCTCCATCTTGTTTTTCAGAGAAGAATTTCTAAACTCATATCTAGCTTTACATTTGCATATTTATTTGATTATCATTCTTTAAACTAGCTTTCATATTGAGTTTAGATTTGATAAATCTTATTGTTACACACACCCACATTGAGCTTATTGTATTTTTATACATAGTATATTTGGGTTGGTGAGAGTTGTAACATTGAGTGTGAGCCTACATTGAGTTCTCATCTATTGTAGAGAACAAATCATTTATTATATTGTGAGATTGTAAAGTTTTCGGTTAGCTAAAATGTGAAGTGAAGATCTCCTCAAGGTGAGGTGCAGAGACGTAGGTCGTGGGGACCGAACTCCGTGAATGAAATTGTGAGGTGTAAATATTATTCGGATGAGCGTAGAAAACACGGTTGTGATAGTGGATTTCTCTCTGGAAGTAGGGAGCGGAGATGTAGGATGGAAGGTCCGAACTCCATGATCATTTGCTTGTGTTTGCATTGTCTTTGGCGTACTTAATTCTTGTGTTCATATCTTGTATCGTCATTGTTCTTTTGCTTATTTATATTGTCCTCTATATTGTTTCACCCTTGTGTTAGTTTATATATCCTTGCATATATTTCACTATATATCTCATTGCTAGGATATTGTTTTTTTTTCATATTGCTTATTCTTGCTTGTAACATATTGTATATCTATCTTATAAGAATAATTTATTAATTAATTTTTATTAGTATAAAATCAGTTTAGATTAGCATAAGACCCTAATCACCCCCCTCTAGGGTGTAACATTTCCGAGTTCACTAAATTAGAAAGTACAAAATTTCCTTGAGACCTTTCCGATTTTTGTTTGTGGAAAGTATGGTGGCGAGGTTTACAAGATCTCTTTTGCAAATATTCTCTACGTATCATATCTCGATCACCTAGATGGTAGGACAAAATTCTTTTTCGTTTTTCAAGATCACTTGGAAGTTCACTTAAATTTATCTTAACTCGTTGTTGCTTCAAAGAACTCTCGATATTGCCTTGTTGGTTGCATTTTCAGGAAGTAGATGATTCCCCCTTCTCTTGCACTTGCTCTTATTATGAAACTGATTTTCTTTTCACAAATTTATCCATAACCCCTATTTAGAAAATATACAACCCAATGATTTTGTGTATAATTAAAATTAAA